CGGCAGCGTTTCGGGCAGGTCCTTAATCTACGAAAATTTTAGTAGGTAAACAATAGCAAAATTTATAAAAATGTGTAACAGGTACATAGCAAGAAAAAAAATAAAAGATGAAAGAAATTTGTAGGTATATTAAAGCACATAGGTAGCTCAGATGGATTGCATTGACAGCTTGAATGGTAGTTTAACAAAAATTAGTAGGCACAAGACAGCATATGGCTAGCACATAAAAGACAGCAATGAACACAATGATAACTGCAGTCTCTCTGCAGAGTCTCAACCTCAGTCAGAGTCTTAGAGTCTCAGTCTGCAGAGATGCAGTCTCTCTGCTATCCCCCATCTTTCCATGGAAAGTGTAGGGAGCCGGTCGGCCGAGCGGACAGCACGCTGGACTTGTGATCCTGTGGTCCTGGGTTCGATCCCAAGCGCCGGCGAGAAACAATGGGCAGAGTTTCTTTCACCCTATGCCCCTGTTACCTAGCAGTAAAATAGGTACCTGGGTGTCAGTCAGCTGTCACGGGCTGCTTCCTGGGGGTGGAGGCCTGGTCGAAGACCGGGCCGCGGGGACACTAAAAAAAAAAAAAGCCCCGAAATCATCTCAAAATAACCTCAAGATAACCCCCCCCCCCCCATGAACCACTCCCTCCACAACATTACGCCACAGACCGGAAACATGACAACAAGGCGAGCAAGGAAGTCCCTCCTGCCTGCCTCCCTTGTGGGCATCTCTACACCTCTTTTTGCACTGTCGCCCCCCACACAGGACGTGGAGCTCGGGGCTGGATGAGGGGCTGGGATGTGGATAGGTGGATAGTAGTGGGGGAGGGGGGCAGGGGTGATGTTTCAATAAACTAGCCACCTTTACCGGGGGACCAAAACATCAGGACCTCACTATTTTTCTATCGTTAGTTCAAGAAGCAATTGGCAGCCCAAAACATGATGTCCGGGGATCATCTGTGGGGGGAGATTTGGTCTCCAAATTGCTGCCATAAGCCTCCAGAATATAGAAGCCTATATTCTGGAGTCCTATACCACACCACTTCCACACAAAGGAAGTTACTACTCCTAATAGAACGTCGCATTTTGACGTACACTTTACCCAAGACCAAAACTCGTCGGTCTAGAAAATGGCAGAAACGGCTCGCGAAATTGACATACTGTCCCGTTTTCAGTTTGGGGTCCTCTGGTAGGTTAGGATAATAGGATATTAGGAATCCTAACCTACCAGGAGGGTGGTTAGGATTGGGTCTTCTGGTAGGTTAGGATTAGGATAAAATGCCTTGTTGCCCGGCCACATTAGTAGGACAGTTTAGGAGGCCGGGCTGGGACACCAGCCCTTCAAGCACCCACACAACACCACACACCAGGAACCAAGACTTCGCTGAAGGCTACCACACACATGGCTTAAGCACTGTAAACCTTACACTGAAGTAAACCTTACTCTACCATATACCGACTCTACTTATACCTACTATACAGACAGACAGACAGATAGATAGTACACAGAATCAATGTAATATCCCAAGAGTGTCCACTCTACACTATTTATTTTACAAAGAGGACGAGAAGAACGAAGACAACAACCAAACCTAACTTTTTCTAAGATTGCCTCTGATAGGCCTAGGGCAAGTTAGTATAGGTTAAAGTATATTCTGTTTCACTTTTCGTCATGCCCTTTAGAATTATAATAGAAACAAGACAAAAACGTGATATATATAATATATATATATAATATATATATATACACTATCTACTCCGATATCTACTATGTAATTGTCCATTATGTCATATATGTACTATGGTCCTCATTGTTACTATAAGTACTAACTAAACAGGTTAGTTACCTGGAGGTTAGTTAGTTAGTTAGTTAGTCCGTTAGTTAGTCCTGGCCTGTATCAGCAGCAGTAATGACAACGGCAGTCCAAATATTAACAATGGTAGTAATAGTAAATGTTAAAACTTTATATATTAATGCAAAACTGTTTATATTTATACAAACTCGAGAAAGTGTATTTTTATAAATATGTATTTTATACAATTTTACATGTACAGCTTGAGGGGCTGGCCTGGACCACAGTCCATCTGGACAGGCAGCTCATGTAACACACACTAGGTGAGTACATCTGATTTCCACAAGATATATAATGCTTGTCAACAAGACGCCTCTTTGTGAGAGTAACTCCTTAATAACGTCAAGGAATGTTAAACAACTTTACTTTAGACAACCTATCAATATGATCACATTTACCCCAAGACGACAATTGTTCCAACTGTCAGGTATCTCACACCATCAATCCTATTGACAAGTGGGCGCCTTTGAGGACATAATACGCCCAGATGATTCCAGGAAGACTTCTCGAATCTCTTTACTGAGAACGTTCAAGTAGAAAGATGTCAATAAAGTATTCCTTCCTATGATCCCTAAATGAGCACCCAAGACGGAACTTGCTTTCTTCTCCCCCCAAACACCCCCCAAAAAACTCCCAAAGAACCTTACATTGCCTCACAATTCCTAAAGGACCATCCACAATGGGAGTAGCGCCGTCTGCCCTCCGCCCAGCTGATAGGACACACGGTCTAGACGGATAGTACTCAAGACACTTCACCCAGACCTATTCTCCGCAGAGATGACTCCGATACGCTTCCCATGCTCCTAGATCGGTAAGATTATATCAGCTTTCTACGTGCATGACGCGGGGCGCACGTTTCCAACCTCCAGACCAGACAAATCACAGCGGACGAAGAGCTACGAGTTAGAGCAGTTAGAGCTACGAGACGAAGAGCGTTCAGTCCGCTCCCTGCTCCTCCAACATGGACATCCTACATCACTCTAAACTCCCAAATCTCACCTCCCTCAAGTTAATACACACCTGTCGAGGAGAAAAACCACAATAACACGACAATCAAAATCCAAGACGGGGCGAAGAGAGACAAGTTTACAAAGGTACTCACATGTGCTTGTGGCAGACCAGACACACCCAGTCACTGCCGTTGGCGTTGAAGTGGCGGCACTGTTTACACACCCTCTGCCTGCACGCCCTACACACCGCCCCGCGGTTGATGATGAGCCCCAGCTCCACACGACACCGCCCGCACGTCCTCGTCGTTCCCGCCACCATCGTCGTCGCGGACGACCGACCTTCGTTCTCGTCCACTCGCACCGCCCCGCGACGACGCAGCCACGACAGCTCCGTCTTGAGGCGACTGTGGTAGTGGTGGCGGTCGTAGACGAGGTGGGGGAGAGAGAGAGAGAGAGAGCTGCTGTGGATTATATGGCGAGGCTGGACTACTCGTAATTAAGAAACAACCCCATTATTATGGGGTGGCAAATCCGTTAGTATGAGACAAACATCATCAGGGAGAGAGGTTAAATTAAGGGGGATCACATTCGTACTGGTAGGGGGCAAGATAGGTTATAAGGAGGTACATTACTTGGGAGAAACTTTGACATGAGGGGAGACAGTACTAGGGGGAAGATACAATATACGGGAGAACACATTATAAGGATGAACTCTATTAGGGAAGGAAGAATACCAGCGAAAACATCATTAGATTAAGCCCTTTACTAGATGTGTGTGTGTGTGTGTGTATTCACGTAGTTGTGTTTGCGGGGCTTGAGCACTGGCTCTTTGGTCCCGTCTCTCAATCGTCAATCAACAGGTGTGTGTGTGTGTGTGTGTGTGTGTGTGTGTGTGTGTGTGTGTGTGTGTGTGTGTGTGTGTGTGTGTGTGTGTGTGTGTGTGTGTGTGTGTGTGTGTGTGTGTGTGTGTGTGTGTGTATGTGTGTATGTGTGTATGTGTGTATGTGTGTATGTGTGAGTGCGTGAGTGCGTGAGTGTGTGTGTGCGTGAGTGTGTGTGTGCGTGAGTGTGTGTAGTTCTAGGGGACAGCTGATGGTCTATCTCCAGGGACGAACAACAGTGTAATGATACAGTAGTAATACTCGCAAGTGTCGTGACGTCACTTCCGGTTAGCACCAAGGGCTAACCAGTTTGCAATATATCCTGTCACACTTCCTGCCCAACTTCACATTCAACTTTGCAACCGTGTTTTTGTTACTGACATGCTTAGGTAGACACAGCAATGTGTTGCTGCCTTACTCCATATGAAGGATTACACAGTGTAGATCACAAACTAGCCATAACTAGGAGAATGTACTGAGTCTAATCTATCCGCCCCCACTAGCAACATCTGGGTAGAGCACAAGATTATCTTCTAATATTCGTGAGTGTATGAAGTAGTTAGAAAGCTCAAAGTACCTCATACCGTTAGGTCTGAAGTCACTTATAACAGGGCAATTACAGATATAGTGTTGGAGACTATGTCCCAGCTCTTGTTGACATAGTTAACAATTGGAATGTTCACCATTGGGAGGATTCACTGGGAGGATTCACCATTGGGAGGATTCACTGGGAGGATTCACCATTGGGAGGATTCACTGGGAGGATTCACCATTGGGAGGATTCACTGGGAGGATTCACCATTGGGAGGATTCATTCATTCAATGTTCACCATTGGGAGGATTCATTACCTGCAGCCACCTGCCATAGATATCGATATCCCAGCCTAATTCTGGCAATTACAACGTCACACTGTCTAGTAGATGTTTTATGCTGCCCGGACATATAATTCTCAGTTCCAAATAATGTCATGGCTCTTTATACTCGTGCTTTCTAGCCTTTGTGTGTCAGTGACTGCTCTTCTGTCTTCCCTTATTTCCTGAAATACTGCGGCTTTGACAGCAGAGATTGGAATGCCCAATATCCAACTCAATTTCAGGCTTATCACACGCAGTTTTAGCTGCCTCGCCTGTGTCGTCATGCTGGACAACACCTGTGTGAGATGGTATCCATACAAATGAGACTGAGACTCTTGCTCTTTGCATTATTAATGTTGTTTATAATGGATGTTGCAACATTCCTGGTGTCTATTTAGCATGTTGGGGTTTTAAGTGTTTGAAGAGCTGACTTTGAGTCACAGACAATTACTCCTCCACTGTTCTTCAGTGGCAAGTTATAGTGGGTTAATGGCAAGTTGGAGCCCAGTAGGCTCAGGGATCTGTACATCAGTAGATTGACGGTTGAGAGGCGGGACCCAAGAGCCGAAGCTCCACCCCTGCAAGTGCAACTATAGGTGAGTACTGGGACAACTAGCTTACTGATCAATCAGCAAGTATATTTTTACCCTGAACATTATGCATGACTAAAGTCAACTCTCATTGTATATACACCGTTAAGCGGGAGGTATATACACCTCTCTGTGTATATATATATATATATATATATCATATATATATATATATATATATATATATATATATATATATATATTATATATATATATATATATATATATTTGAACATTATATTTTTGCATTTAATCTCCTTTTCTCTCCGTATACCAAGTTCTTAAAAATTCCCAAATTTTTATGTTAAAGGGCAATAAATTTTACAATGATATATTGGTTATTGTGATACAAAATCAAGTATAAAACAAACACAAAATGCATAACTCAGTTACTGGAATAAAAAGAAACACCGTTCATACATCCATTACGAAGCAAAAGTCATTTTCTTTTGTTACCCTTAAAATACACGTTTTTCTTTATTAGTAGAAAACGAAATCATGAGCTGGAATTTTAAGGTACACTATTGTAAACATCCTTTCGATTTACATTCTGAATATTCTATTTTGGGGAAGGCTTTGCGAACGTCCCGTACACGGAGACTCCATGTACATACCGGTAACCATCCAATTACCAGCCAGAATTAACGGTACTTAACCTACCTGGCTAAGCGAATAACTAACCAACTTACTGCCCGAAACGCTGCGCGTACTAGTGGCTTTACAAGAATGTAATTACTATGCTATGTATCCTCACAATGCCAGTGTACCTTCTTGTATATATATAAATAAATAAATAAATACTGTCTCGGTAGTATAATTGGCTTCGTTCACAACTCACAATCGCGAGCCCCAGCGGGACAGAAATGATAAGGCACCTTTCCTTTCACCTAATGCTGCTGTTCACCTATAGAACTGACCATCTCAATTTGTAAACAAATAATCCATTGTATGTCTCGCAGAATTTTAAATTCATAAAAATGTAAAAATTACGCATCAGTGGGCGAGGGTGGAGGTGGAGGGGTTAGGTGTTTATCAGGAGAAAGTGCCAAGCCATTACGACTGTATACCACTGGGAAGGGGTCAGGATAAGGATTTGGGTTGGGACGGAGGGAAGGAATGGTGCCCAATCATTTGGACGGTCAGGGATTGAACGCCGACCTGCACAAAGCGAGACCGTCGCTCTACCGTCCAGCCCAAGTGGTTGGTGGTGGTGGGAGATTGTATGAACCTTGGAAAGTAGAGTAGTGGGATGGGCCACTGGGATGGGCCACAGGGATGGGCCACTGGGATGGGCCACTGGGATGGGCCACAGGGATGGGCCACTGGAATGGGCCACAGGGATGGGCCACTGGGATGGGCCACAGGGATGGGCCACTGGGATGGGCCACTGGGATGGGCCACAGGGATGGGCCACTGGGATGGGCCACTGGGATGGGCCACAGGGATGGACCACTGGGATGGGCCACAGGAATGGGCCACTGGGATGGGCCACAGGGATGGGCCACTGGGATGGACCACTGGGATGGACCACTGGGATGGGCCACTGGGATGGGCCACAGGGATGGGCCACTGGGATGGGCCACAGGGATGGACCACTGGGATGGGCCACAGGGATGGGCCACTGGGATGGACCACTGGGATGGACCACAGGGATGGACCACTGGGATGGGCCACAAGGATGGGCCACTGGGATGGACCACTGGGATGGGCCACAGGGATGGGCCACTGGGATGGACCACTGGGATGGGCCACAGGGATGGGCCACTGGTATGGGCCACAGGGATGGGCCACTGGGATGAACCACTGGGATGGGCCACTGGGATGGACCACTGGGATGGGCCACAGGGATGGGCCACAGGGATGGACCACTGGGATGAACCACTAAGAGATGCACTAACTACCCACATTGGTCAGCTTGTTACTACACCAGATCCTCAACCCACTTCCAATGGCCTTCACCTTAATAACTAAAGTTACTGATCTAAACTATTAATTAGAATTTGAAATTGAATTGAAATAAGATTAACTATTTGACATTTGTAGCATTAAAACGTTGATAAAACGGCAGTTTTACAGTTGTTCCATTTACAATCTCTTTGATCTTGAGATGAAGTGGTGAGGACTATGAACTCCGCGGAGGAGGGTGTGCTTTTGGGAGGGGGAGGGAAGATATGTGGGGAGGAGGGGGTGTAGGGGTGATGAGAGAAGGAGGGGGGGGGTGTGGGGGAGGGGGAGAAGGGGAGAGAAAAGTCACACCCCCCTACGCACACACCCACACACACACACACCCACACACACACACACACCACCCACACACCCACACACCCACACACCTACACACCCACACACACACACACCCACACACACACACACGCACACAGTGGACCCCAGTCTGGCGAGAGCGGCGCAGGGGTCTCGCGGCCTTATCAATGGAGTCATTAAAGGTAGTCTAAACCCACTATCGGCAGGTCGAGTGGCAAGTTAAAGGTACTCCTCAGAGGAGCTGCAGCCTGCCACTTGAGCTGTGAGTCAGTGCCAACACAAGGGAGAGCAAGGCACTGAGGGACACGCTCCACAGTGGCAGAGGTGCCTTGTCTTTTGTGGCAGAGGTGCCTTGTCTTTGTGGCAGAGGTGCCTTGTCTTTCGTGGCAGAGGTGCCTTGTCTTTTGTGGCAGAGGTGCCTTGTCTTTTGTGGCAGAGGTGCCTTGTCTTTGTGGCAGAGGTGCCTTGTCTTTCGTGGCAGAGGTGCCTTGTCTTTCGTGGCAGAGGTGCCTTGTCTTTCGTGGCAGAGGTGCCTTGTCTTTTGTGGCAGAGGTGCCTTGTGGCGCCAATTAAGGGGACAGGATATTATAACTCGGGTAGCAACATGGTATTCATTTTTCAGTGTTTCAAACCTCTTCCGGTGTGGCCTAGTGTTGGTGAGTGCAGGTGTGGCCTAGTGTTGCTGAGCGCAGGTGTGGCCTAGTGTTGCTGAGTACAGGTATGGTCTAGTGTTGCTGAGTGCAGGTGTGGTCTAGTGTTGCTGAGTGCAGGTGTGGCCTAGTGTTGCTGAGCGCAGGTGTGGCCTAGTGTTGCTGA